TGAAGTGAACTACTTCTTTAATGTCTCTTTAGTAAGAGTTTGAAACATCACGTTTGCTGTCTGCTGTATTGTGTAGAGTTGTATAGAGGTAGAGTTGTGATGTGTGTGTTCTCTCTGCAGTTGTCACTCTCTGCACACGATGGATCAGGAATACCTCGAGGGAAGCGAGTACATGGTGGCAGACGTCGAGAGGACCGATGACTTCGAGTACGAGGTGAGTTTGTCCCGCCGCTCTCCTCCATTAATAACCTGTGCTACGCTGTAGTGGACCCGATCCGATCCGTCCCGTAACAGAGTCTGAGACTGACCGATGAAGCTCGCGAACGCCTGATGGAGCGCACCGATACACACCTGAACCCTTTTCTTCTCCAGTAAATGTATCTTGATTTAAGAGTGTTTGTTCTGGAAACGAGACCGAATCGCAATGTTTTTGCGACCCGAACGCCGGTTTCGGTGACTTTGTCCTGTCGAGCCGCTTCATTTATCACTGTCAGATGATCATGATGGAGCCGCTCAAACTCACACACGCAAACACACTCCGGGTTATTTCAGGGCAGATGCATTGTGGGAAGGAGCAGGAGTGCGTTACGCAGGCTTGTTTCATTTAGCTGTATTTTTAACTGATAAAAGATATAGCTTGAATGCAAAGGGAGTCATTTTGGATAAAAGCGTCCTGCAAATGCATAAATGTAAATATGTAATGTGGTTTTTCCGTCCGGGTGCATGTGTTGTCGAGGTCGTGTGCTGTTCTCCTCGGGAGATGTGTGTGTTCTCTGTCTGTACCCATTAACGCAGAGCAAATGTAATATATTACTCTGTGTTGTGCACGCTTCATTCTCGAGCGCTAATGCGGTTACAGTCCTGCGCGTGTGATTTCATGCTCGGGGAAGTGAACGCAGGACTGAGTTACTGCCACTTAACACGCGCCCGTAAACTATCCTCACACAGAGAGAGAGAGAGAGAGAGAGAGAGAGAGAGAGAGAGAGAGAGAGAGAGAGAGAGAGAGAGAGAGAGAGAGAGAGAGAGAGAGAGAGAGAGAGAGAGAGAGAGAGAGAGAGAGAGAGAGAGAGAGAGAGAGAGAGAGAGAGAGAGAGAGAGAGAGAGAGAGAGAGAGAGAGAGCTCAGTGTGCAGGAGTGACGCCCATTACTCAGATACAGAAACTACTGAAACTTCACTCAGACTGGGTTTAGTTCATGCCGATTGTCACTGTATTTTGATATTAAATAGTTGTTTTCTTACATTTTAAAGATGACACAGTTACAGATTTTGACAAAGATTTTTACAGTTCATGGTGTTTGCCCATGCAGAAGCTGCTGCCATGAAGCATGTGTGTTTAGTGGTCACCAAGGCATTGCTGGGGTTGCTGTGTCCTTGGTGGTTGCTATCGAGTTGCAATGGTGTTCTGGGTAGTTGCTAGGGAGTTGCTATGGTGTTTTGGGTAGTTGCTAGGGAGTTGCTATGGTGTTCTGGGTAGTTGCTATGGTGTTTTGGGTAGTTGCTAGGGAGTTGCTATGGTGTTCTGGGTAGTTGCTATGGTGTTTTGGGTAGTTGCTATGTTGTTCTAGGTCAGGGATGGGCAACTTCGGTCCTCGAGGGCCACTGTCCTGCAGTGTTTAGCTCCAACCCTAATTAAACACACCTGAACAAGCTAATCAATGTTTTCAGGATTACTAGAAAAGAGTTTTTGTCAGGGTTGGAGCTAAACTCTGCAGGACAGTGGCCCTCCAGGACCGAAGTTGCCCATCCCTGTTCTAGGTGGTTCTTTAGGAAGTAGCCATGCAGTTGCTATAGTGCTCTGATTGGTTGCCAGGGAGTTTTGAAGGAGTTACACCGCACTCACGATCTTCAAGGTGCCAGACACACAAGACTAAAGATCTCAATAAATAAACTGTCCGCACACTCAAATCCTTAAAGCAAATTTAATAGACCAAGCTTTCGGTCAAAGGAGGGAGGTTGCCATGCAGTTCTTGCTGGTGTTCTGGGTGGTTGCCAGGGTGTTGCTATGGTGTCCTGAATGGTTGCTAGGGTCTTCTGAGTGGGTGTTTACTGTCCTGCGTGATAAGTCTGTATGATATATTAACTTGTTTTTTCATCCAGTAAATCTGGGTTAGATCACATCAATTCTACGGTGTGTGTGAATGTGTGTGTGTCTATGAGTTTGTGTGTTTGTGATTGTGTGTGCGTGTCTATTTGTGTGTGTGTGTGAATGTTTGGATCTCATCAGTGTTTTGTTTTGCTCTGGACTCCCGAAACACTCAGTGAAAGATGTTTGTCTGGTCTGGAAGAGAGTGTGTCACACACACACACACACACACACGAGGCTGATGCAGTCGCTCCGCCAGTGTTGCAGAGAGAGACTCATGCTCAGTGTGTGTGTTTCTGCAGGACTGAGAGCGCAGGCTTCTCCTCTTTTGTTCTTGAGGTTGTGTGTCGTGACTCTGAGGCGTGTAATCAGTCAGTGGCTGGACGTCTGGATGAAAGATGACCTCTGCGTGACCCCGAGCGCACGCGCGTGTGTGTGTGTGTGTGTGTGTGTGTTTCACCTGCTGGCACAAAGTGGACGGCGTGTCTGAAATGCATCGCATAACACTCAGTATTTCTGTCTGGTTTTCCAGTACAAATATCTAAACATTTGTATCAAGATATTGAGTCTTGTTTTCTGGAAAATCTATCAAAATGAAGTGAGTTTGTGCTTAAAACAAGAACAAATATCTGCCAAATATCGTTGAACTAGGTTTATTTTTCTGACTCCATTGGCAGATATTTGTTCTTGTTTTAAGCACAAACTCACTTCATTTTGATAGATTTTCCAGTGTAATACTTTATAATATATCTCATGTTGCTCCTCCAGTAAAGGTATTAATGTGAGTAAAACTTCAAAAGCTTTCGATCATTGACTCCATGAAGAGATTGTGTTGGTCTATTGTCGTCTCAAGCGTCACACACTGAAACAGCACATGAATTTTTCATCTCTATCGCTGGGATTCACAGCCTGAATGACTGAATAAATTAATGCTCATTAACATAATTACAAACTTATTTACAAAATAAACATCAGCTTTGGTGAAAACAGCGCATAGTAAATGTCCTGATTCCTGGAAGAGGCTTCAGAGCGCCGATCCATGTTTGACGAGTCGGGAAACTCACATGGGGAAGAGCTAGCTTTATTTTTTTATATTATTTACATTTTTGCTACCATGAAATTTACTAGCAATTCCTGAGAGAAAATTGTTTATCTGAAGGAGTATTTCTGCTGGTCCTGGAGTGTCTTCATCTGTGTGTGTGTGTGTGTGTGTGTGTGTGTGTTCAGGAGGTTGAACTGTGTCGGATGAGCCGTCGAGAGAAGCTCGGACTCACACTGTGTTACAGGACAGATGAGGAGGAGGACATCGACATCTACGTCAGCGAGGTAAGAACGAGAACACACACACACACACACGCACACACACTCACACACACACACACGCACACACACTCACACACACACACACGCACACTCTCTCTCACGCACACAAATGCATGCACGCACTCACTCACTCATGCACTCTCACACACACGCACGCACGCACAAACACACACACACACACACACACACACACACACACACACACACACACACACACACACACACACACACACACACACACATATATGGTACTTTACTTAGTGTCTCCTGTCCATTAGTGTGTGACTGGAGCTGATGTGTGTTGAGCTCTGGGCTTCATTAGAAGTCGTCTCAGATTCAGTCTCAGCGGCGTGTGTGTGTGTGTGTGTGTGTGTGTGTGAATACAGATCCGCCAGCGCTTACACAGGCTTATTAAAATCTGCACTCCATTAAATTGAAGAGCAGAGAGCCGTGGCATCAGCGATATTAATATCACAGCGCACACACACTCGTTACGCCGGAAGAAAGAAAAGCTGTAACAGTGTTGTGAGACCTGAGCGAAACACACGTTCATTCATGTGCTTTATTCTATTAGTTAGATTGAGCGTCAGTGTGTGTCTCAGAACAGCGTGATCTGGGGAAACTCGTGTGCAACCCGAGGGATTTTGTGATGTCATGAAGACAGATAAACTCTGCGCTGTGATTGGACGGAGTCTGACAGCCATTGATTGGCTGATAAAAAGAGCAACATGGAGTTAATGAAGAGGAATTGATTTTGAACTTATTAACCATTAAACACAGCCCTACTGTGATATACTAGATATAATGTTATATGCTTCTGTTCAACGCATCAGTTCATATTATTTAAACCAAAGAATTGTTAAACAGCAGAATTCCTGGTGGAAAACTACATTACCCATGATGCTGTTCAGACTATTCCACCAATCAGAGAGTCTTGGAGAGCAAAACATGATATTCTTCCTCAGTGTTTCAGTCTTGTTTTTCAGCACAAATATCTAAATGTTTTTAAATCAAGAAACAAGACTGAAACACTGTGGAAGGAAATTTTGGTAAATATTTCCATATATATATAAATATTTTGCAATCTTTACATATATATATATTAGGGATGTCCCGATCCGATACTCAGGATCGGTATCGCTCCGATACTGCCATTTTTGCGGGATCGGGTATCGATCTGACATCGATCAGACGAGGCCGATCCAAATCCGATATTGTGGGTATACTATTATGTGTTATTGTTAAGCCCCACAAAATGCACAAAAACATTCTAAAGAACCATAACGTTTTCGTGCACTCTATTATAAGTGTTCTGAAGCTATTATGTGAGATATAAATTAATATTTAAGTAATTAAATTCAAGATCACGTAAATTTTTCCCTCTCGCGGCTGTCAGTCATTCTCCATTCAGCATTCAAACAGCGCGTCGCGTTCGGTTGCAGTCAATGATGAAACTATCTTCAAGATGATTCAATGTTAATACTATTATACTTGATCTGTAAGATAAAGGTCTATGTTTTCGCATAAAACAACTTTATCTTGCTGGACTTTATTGCTGTAACTCAATCGTGTTACTCTCTACCGGGTGTCGGACGCTGTCAGTTTGATCACAACACTAGAGTCAGAGCACTATAATTGTTCTTCACGCGCACAGTAACTGAAATTTAAAACTGTTAAAAGAAAAGGCTCAATAAACGATTGCATAGATAGATACTGTATAATACACTGTCGATCAATATGTATCTCCGTTGTGCTTTGAACTTTTCAAAGCGGACTCGACGCGCTGCGTGCTGTAACTCCACGTGGCTTCAAGCGCATCATTCTCCGCTCGGGATGCGCATAAGCGCTTTGTGCCGCACTGTATTGGAGCCTTTCATATCATAATGCATTGACGCAATTAAAGCTTATTAACATTAATAATTATTAATGTTGCTGCCTCATTAAATAGCTGTGCAATACATTTAAAACATGTCTCAATTTTATAGCAGATTTAGCTATATTTAAAATAATGATCTTTTTCATTTTTGTTATCTTGTTTTTCATGAATGTATTTTACAACAATAAAAAGAGCAATGTGTATTATCCACTAATCTAGTTTATAATAGCATTTTTGTCATAGATTATGATCATATATTTTGGGGATTTGTTGTTTATCTTTATAATGAAGCTGTCTGTATTAAGTAGATTGTGTTTAACACACACAAGAGTGATAATCAGTTTAACACACAGTTATAGAAATTCTAATTGATTTAAAAAAACAAAAACTGTACTGGTATTTACAATGTAGAATGCTGCTGTTTAAATTGTTTTAACTTTAAACCTGTTGGTAGCTAGCTAGCTTTAAGTACTGAAGTACCTGTATTTTCTTTCATTTATATATTTCTTTATTTTTTTGTAGTGTTTGAATAAAGGGTGGCAATCTTTCATAATCAACTGTTGTTGTGGACTATATAGGAGGTATATTTTAGGTGGCTAATTGAGAAAATTGCTATATTTTTTATTAGTTTAAGAATAAAATAAAAATATCGGATTAATATCGGTATCGGCAAAAGCCAAAGCTGCGGCATCGGTATCGGTATCGGAAGTGAAAAAGTGGTATCGGGACATCCCTAATATATATATATATATATATATATGTATCCATCATATAATATTCATCTTTAAATCATTCTTTTTAATAGGGATGCAAGATATATCGGCCACCATATCCATATCGACCGATATATGTTCATTTTTAATGTTATCACTATCAGTTAATTATTAAAGGGATAGTTCGGCCAAAAATGATATTTAACCCATGCATTACTCACCCTCAAGCCGTTCGAGATGCATATGTCAATCTTGTTTCAGACGAACACATTTTCAGTTATTTTAGAAAATGTCTTAGACCCTTCAGTGGATATAATGTGAAGCAATGGGGTCCACCTCCTTCAAGTCCCAAAATGTGCATACATCCTTCACAAAAGTAATCCATCCGGCTCCAGGGGGATAAACGAAGGCCTTCTGAGGGTAATCCGTGCGGTTTTGTCGTAAAAATATACATATTTAAAACTTTATAAATGAAAATATCTGACTTCCGGCAACGATCGACACGCGTTCACGGGTGATGGAAGTCGGCGTACGAGGTAGGACGTCGCGTAGGAACCGTCGTGACGTAGAACGAACGCGCCCGCGCAGCCAGAGAGCAGAGCAAAACAAAACACTTCCATCACCCGTGAACGCGCGTCGATCGTTGCCGGAAGTCAGATATTTTCATTTATAAAGTTTTAAATATGTATATTTTTACGACAAAACCGCACGGATTACCCTCAGAAGGCCTTCGTTTATCCCCCTGGAGCCGGATGGATTACTTTTGTGAAGGATATATGCACATTTTGGGACTTGAAGGAGGTGGACCCCATTGCTTCACATTATATCCACTGAAGGGTCTAAGACATTTTCTAAAATAACTGAAAATGTGTTCGTCTGAAACAAGATTGACATATGCATCTCGAACGGCTTGAGGGTGAGTAATGCATGGGTTAAATATCATTTTTGGCCGAACTATCCCTTTAATTGTGTGTTTGAGACTTGGCTTTTAATGGTGAGACTTTTGTTTTTGTAATCAGGCTCTCAAAAATGTATATAAAAATTTATATTTACATTTATCGGCTAATATATCGGTTATCAGCCTTCAAATATAAAGAATTATCGGTATCGGCCAACATGTTAATATCGGTGCATCCCTACTTTTTAATTCGATCATGTCATTCACAACGCTTGATGAGATTGTTGTTATTTCGTTAAGTTCACAGTCGTCTTTGTCTTTTATGCTTATGTTAGTAATGGTGATTCACCTTTGGTGGCTGATTTCTAATGAACTCTTTTTAAAAATCCCTATGGGGAAATGAGTGTAAAGTGGGCGGGCACTAATGCACTCTATCCCACTCAGACACAGAGGAGCACGGGATTGGCTGGAGTCTTGAAGCATCGGCCAATCAGAGCTTGAGTTCTCTGAGTAATATTCTGAATGTTCTGATGACATCGATGACATCACGGTTTTCTCCTGAGTGGCTGTATATATAAATTAACTAAATTAATAACTTTTTTACCACAAAAATGAACCATCGCTGAACTTACTTAAGCTGGACTGTGACGATATTTTTTTCTGGAAACAAACGTTGTTGCATTATTCTCCTGTTATCTCTGTAAAGATGTATTAAAACACTCTGTGTTGTAAAGCGCTGTATAAATAAAGCTGACTTGACTTGACTAATCCAGGGCAGAATCCTGAATGATAATCTGAAAACTGTTGCTTTCCTTCTCAGATCGAGCCGAACAGCATCGCGGCCCGAGACGGTCGGATCCGAGAAGGAGACCGTATTCTACAGGTAACTTGACCTTTGACCTCTTAAACACCTGTGCTTCTGTACATGAGCTGTCGTCTCGCATAGTGTCGGGCAGATCGAGGCTTTGTGGAACACTTAGGGGCCGTTTACACGACACCGTTTCAGCTATAAACATAAAACTTTTTATGTGTTTTAGCTGTTTGTTTACACGACAGCGGCGTTTGGGCGCCTGAAAACGCAAAGTTTCGAAAACGGGTTTCAAAGTGCAAGTTTTTGAAAACGATCTTCGTGTAAACAGCAAAAACGCAAATCTCTGAAGACGATGATGTCACGCACATGCGTATTACGTGTTCAGTCTGTCGTGTTTCATCGCCATCTACTGGCCTGGCAGCAGAACACAGCGTTTTCACTCGTTTTCGCGGATCCGTGTGAACGGGGATCGTTCTGACGATGGTGTCGTCTGTACACGGAAAACTCAAAGGAAAACCTTCTCAGTTTTAAGCACATCGTTGTCGTGTAAACGCACCCTGAAACAGTTGAAGCGAATATGCCGTATTGAGTCGAGGCTTCGAAACACTCCGTCTCCACGCTGACCCCTAGTGGCCAGAACAGTGTCACTGCAACAAGACCCCGGACCACACATGCAGAAAAACACCTTTCACAAATCTATTGCACATTTTTTATTGAAAGTAAAATCTTTCAAATGCAATTATCTAATAAGATTATCAAGTGTCTATATGTTCTTTTATCAATTGTCAGGGTTTGTGCTATGAATGGCTAAGATAAACCAATAAGAGACTATTAACTACAATTATTCATCTTAATTATACTAATGTCTAATTAAAACGTCCACAAATGTATAACACTGATCAGAGATCCGGTAACCCCGCAGACACGTGTGCACTGGTTCTCAGCGCCTCCTCACGATCATGGGTTCACAGATCGTCGCCCCCCAGTGGCAAAACATTGACATTGCAAAGTGTTTCGAGACGGTTGTGCCGTAATGAAGCCTCGTTACTGAAGTCACGTGACTCTGGCAGTGTGATACACTCTCCGAACCACTGATTCAGAGCAAAAGATTCGTAAAGGTTTGGAAGCTCCATGAAGCAGTGTTTTGAAATGGCCATCGCTAGTGTGGCCCCGAGCGGCTCATTAATCGCTAGCTGCGGCACATTAGCCCTCAGAACGAGCTCCTGATGAGCCTCGGCTACAGGACCTGGAGGAGAGCAGGGCCCGTCGGGGTCGTTACTCTGATGGAACGTATTTGTAGCTGTCGCTCAGGAAAACATGCTGGAGGTGTTTCCTAATACAGTCATCATCGAACTCTCGAGCTTCAGGAAGAAGCATGGCGTTTCTGCGTCGCTAGCGGCTCCGGGAGAAATCATGACAGACGCTGAGATGCTCATGTGTTACACTGCAAACATGAGGCTCTTCCTCAGTGATTCTGTCTCGCTTTACAGATCAAACATCGAAACATTCTCACATCAAGATACAGTTACTGGAGAAGATATGACTGAAGATATTAAATCTGGTTTATTAAATAATGAAGTGAGTTTGTGCTTAAAACAAGAACAAATATCTGTCAATGTCAATATCTGTCACATTATTTTTCAGTATACAGTAGTGGCCAAAAGTACCATCCGACCTAGGACCCTTTATTCAAATATTATTAAAAATATCTTAAAGATTTTGTAATCATATTGCGTAGTTGTGCTTGGAGTCGATTGTTTTATTTGTGATAATAATACAATGAAACATAACAAATTGTGTGACGTAATTTTGGTCAAGGCTGCCATTCAAAGAAATGATGAACGCATGCAAAGAGAGAACCAACGAGATATTAATAACTGAAAATGTTTGCTTTATCACTTTTGGCCACTACTGTATTTGTTCTTATTTTAATTATTAATTTAATTATATTTGTTCTTGCTTAATTTTTATATATTTTCCAGAAGAGGTTTAGATATCTGTGCTGGAAAACGAGACAGAAACATAATTTTTTGCAGTCCATTTTTATGAATGAACTATACGCTGCTTCTCATTGGCTGGTGTGTGTGTGTACGCTGCTTCTCATTGGCTGGTGTGTGTGTGATTGACAGATCAATGGGCGGGACGTTCAGGACAGAGAGGAAGCTGTGGCCGTTCTCACTAATGAAGAAAGCAGGAATATCGTTCTGCTGGTCGCCAGGCCGGAAATGCAGGTACACTACACACACACACACACTCACCCACACACACACACACACACACACACACACACACCCACATACACAAACATCTACAGAGTTACAAATCTAATCTGCAAGGCTAATGTACTAAAGTTAACTAATGAGACCTTATTGTGAAGTGTTACCAAACTTCCCGAAAACACAATTTGCACTATATTTCCTTGAATAACTGTAATACACACTCATATTTGTGTCTTCACATTACTTTGATTTAGTGTGATTCAGATGGTCAGACCTCCAGTACGTCCACATCAACATGTTTGGTTTTCACATGTGTAATCGACTTCCAACAGAAGCCTATAAAAACCAACAGCATGTTGTTATCGTTCGCGAAACACAAGTGTGTGTGTGTGTGTCCAGACAGCTCGTGTGAACATTATCGGCTGTAATTAAACACATGATGAATGTATGACGTTTGAGGCTGTGTGTGTGTTGTGGTTCATTACACCAGCACAGATCTGACCATTACCTCAATAATGTGTGTGATGCAGACGTCATAAAATGTGACACAGACGTAATGCGTTTCTCACACCAGAGCCATAAAAGCACGATGAACACCTGAGTGAGTTTAATGAAGAAATGGGCAGCTCATATTTCATTTCAGAAGACAGAGATGTAGACTATTTTTAGGACCATTGCCATTTTTCGGAGGAATTTTTAAGGCAAAAAAAATTACATTTTCCATGGAGTACTATGAGAATTTTGTGTGAAATGTGCTTAATTTTAATACATTTTTTGTTAAACAGGACCAAAAATCATTCTGTCTACACTTGATCTTGATCTACACTCATGATGTTCTTCCTCAGTGTTTCTGTCTTGTTTTCCAGCACAAATATCTCAACATTCTTACATCAAGACACATTTACTGGAGAAGAACAATGACTGAAGATATTAAGATATCAAAAAAAAAATATTTTCTTAATTCAAGAACAAATATCCGCCAATGAGTCTGAAAAATACACTTGTTTTCCTGTGAAGTAAAATGATTTTCCTGACCGCTCCGACTGATATTTGTTCTTGATCTAAGAATAAATGTAAGCGTCATGCTTCAGATTATTTCGTGTCTCCAGTAAATGCATCTTGATTTAAGAATGTTTCGATAAGAACATCATTTTTTCAGCGGTTTATATATAATTGTTCAGGTAAAGTTGAAATCACACGGACTTAAAGCTTATATCATCACATGATGTCACAATGCGCTGTATTGGTCATTTTCTTTACGCTGAATGAAACTTCTCAGATTTGTATTTATTTATGTAATGTTTAATCTGTGAAACTGTGACAGCCGTCCGATGCGTGTATCACAGTGCTGGTAGCTAAAGCTAATCTGCAACTCTTGTCCTTAGAAGCGCTTTTAGAAATTACAGTTACAACAGCAAACCACAAAAAAACCCCTAAACTAAACATGAGTCCAGGTTTGTTGCTGAATCAACCCAGACGTCTTTGGAGTGACATCCGCGATCTGCAGGTGTTTGTGGAGATTGACCCTCATGTTGTGTGTGTTTCAGGAGGAGCCGTGGCTGGACGATGAACACAGCGAGTTCCTCGAGGAGCTGAAGATGGAGATGCTGGAGGAGCAGAGGAGAGAAGAGGAGGAGGAGAGGGAGCGAGCCGAGGAAGACAAGGTGAGAGAAACATCTCGCACTCCAGCATCGAAACCTTCTTAAATCAAGATACGTTTCTAGATACGTACTAGAGAAGAACAATGACTGAAGATATTACGAATAAAGGTCCTTGCAAATTGAGTCCAAAAATTTTGCACGTTAAAAAATAAATCCGCCCTCAAGTTGTGTCAATCACGTTTACGCCTCGGAAAAAGGCGTAATATTATTAAAAAAATAAGAATTTCTGCATTTTTCACATTCGTAGCAAGCATTTTGAGAGGTGTTTTGACAATTCAGAGCCACCGTACAAAATCCAGAACTGCTCAGGGTCAATTGGCTCACGGGAATTGTTGCTGTCTTTTTAAAGGGGTGATGAACTGAGAAATCAAATTTTCCTTGAGCTTTTGACATCTAAGAGGTCATCATATTATAAGAATATCCTGTAAGTTTCAGAACTGAAAACGTCCTTGTTAGTCCAATAAAAGCTTTTATTGACACCAGGCTCAGCAAACGACTCGTTTTTCAAAGTGGGGAACTATGACGACAAAGAGGATAAAACACCACCCCCGCAGAAGAAGATCAACGCCTACTTCAACACGGCCGGGTTAGCCCCGCCCACCGATTCGCGCATTACACGAAACTCTTTATAATATGCAAAACTGTTATCCACTCGTAGCAGTGGGTGTTTACTTCCAAGTCTTCAATGCGAGACGCCCATAAAAACCGAGCGTTTTTGAGCTAGGCTAAAAACTAGGGTAGAAAATAGCCTATTACTTATTTATTTTGATGTTTCTGAATGTAAAAACCAAGCGAACGTCATAAGTTGACCTCAGACAGCAATATAAAAAAATTTAAAAAGCCAGTTCATGACCCCTTTAAAATGTGGTTCCAGTATCACTAGCAAAGCATCACACTGAGCCACTGATGTCCTGAAGTAAACTTTGAATCGCTTGGGATACTCCCGAATTGAACTCTCCTTCCTCTACGCAATCTCAGGATTGGATGGACCCAATATTTCCTCTTTCCTTTTCTCTTCTGAAGTGGAGAGAGGACAACAAAATCATCCTCACTGCTTGAAGACTCAATACATTTTGTATTGTTTTGCGAATTTTTCCGCAAAGGATTAGTACGCATCGGACTCAGTGTGCAAGGTTTCTGTGCATGACGAATAAAAAAAAAACATACGCAAATTTTGGCCTCAGTGTGCAAAGACCTTTACTGGGGAAAAATACAAAAAATACAGAGTTAGAACATAATTTTTTGCATTGCTTGTGTTAGTAAATAAAGAATGATAGATCAACATTCTGAATCATTTCTTGTTCCATACAGTTTTACCATTTAAACAAAAACTGATAAACATGTATTGTTCTAATCCATTCGTACCAACTCCCAAATGATCACAAAAACTCAGGAGGATTTTGAGTGAGAATCATTCAAGCAAAACCAGAATCTACTGTCAAGTCTCCTTCATTTATACAGCGCTTTAACAATATAGAGTTTCACAGCAGCTTTACAGTGATAACAGGAGATTACAGTAACAGAGAGTGTTTAGGCTTTACAGCAGCTCTAGAATAAAGTTATTGTCCAGATAAAGTTAGTTTTGATTGATTCACTTCCGTCGCAAAGATCATTAGTTATTGACTTAGGGGCCGCTAACACGACACCGTTCTAACAGAAAACCCTTAACGCGATCCGGCCGCTCACTCACACACACAACAGTGTCTGGAGCTCGAGAACGCAAACCCTGAAATAGATTCAGGGACATTTTTGAAAAGCGTTCTCATCTCTAAACTTCAAAAACGCGAATCTGTGAAAACGCTGACGGCGTGCACATGTGTATCACATGTATCTACATGCAGGCGCGTAATCTTTCTTTAAAAAATTGACCTCACCAAATTACTTGTCTGGCCTTAAAAACTCATAATAAAGAATTATTTTTTTTCCTGCAGGCCAGAGGAGCTTCAGAAGAAAACATCACAGCGTCCTGCTCCTACAACCAGCAGAAGATCAGTCCTCCTGACGGTCCGGAGAAGAAGGTGCTCGCTCAGATCCAGAAGAGACTGTCGCGGTGTCTGCGGGAGGGTTCCGGTCAAAGAGACGGCCCGGAGAAGGAGCTTCCCGAAGGAGACCGATATCAGCAGCTGCTGGAGCTCAAGTGTCAGATCCGCAACAGCGGCGAGTTCGACCTCTTCTACTCGCGCAGCAGCACCATCGAGTGTAGCGGCGTCCAGCACGAGCTCCGCATGCTCAACGAGGAGCTGCGTAGCATCGAGATCGAGTGCCAGAACATCATGCGGGCGCATCACCGGAAAGAACCGGGGAAGAAGCTCGCGGACATCAGCGAGCATCCGGAGAAGTCGGATAAGGACAGTTCGAGCGCGTACAACACGGCGGAGAGCTCGCGTAGCACGCCGCTAGCGATGGACCGCTCGCCCGACCACAGGATAGTCAGCCTCACTAATCATAGGAACCTTCGTGGATCATCCGTCAGGAGCGGCAGTCCCGATCACAGCAACCCGTCGGAGTCTCCCGTGGAAGACGAGCGATCTTTGAGGACTCGAATTGCCGCTTTATCAAGAGCGCCAGATACGCGACACTACCAGAGCTACATGGAGTTAGCACACGGTCTGCTAGGCATGAGCGATCCGCAAGTCGTCCAGCCGTCCGAACCCAAAATGGAGTGGAAAGTGAAAGTCAGGAGCGACGGAACCAGATACATCACCAAACGTCCAGTCCGAGATCGTCTACTCCGGGAGCGAGCCCTTAAAATCAAGGAGGAGCGCAGCGGCGGGATGACGACCGATGACGACGCCATGAGCGAGATGAAGATGGGCCGCTACTGGAGCAAAGAGGAGCGTAAGCAGCATCTGCTACGGGCTAAAGAGCAGCGGCGGCGGAGGGAGTTCATGCAGCAGAGCCGCCTGGAGAGTCTGCGGGAGAGTCCACTCAGCGCCGGAGAGGTGAGCATCATCCAGCTCAGCCAGCGCAAGATGATGAAGAAGCGGAACAAGAAAATTCTGGACAACTGGATGACGATTCAGGAGTTGATGACGCACGGGGAGAAAGCGCCAGAAGGATCCAAAGTGCATAACGCCTTCCTGTCGGTTACAACTGTATAGATTCACATGCAAGTTACCCATTTACCCATGTGGTACGATCTACATTTGCCTCGTTCAATGTGGCAATTTTTATGAGAAGAGACCAGATGAATATTTTTCACACTTTGTTAATGTTTTCTAAGCAATTAAACAAGTCTCATTGCATTTTTTTTTTTTACAGTTTTTGTTACTGTAATATTTCAAGGAAGGTACCTAAGGGAATATTTCACTCAAAGATTGTTGTCATAAGTCACATATTCAACACAAACCTGTATGCCTTTCTAAGCCTCTAGTTGGATATGATGGGAGGAAAAACATGATATTGGAGGAAAAAAAAGTTTTTTTTTTTTGTTGTTGCTCACAATAGTTTGAGAAACTTCACAGAGAATTCACATTTACTCGTTTGCTTACTAAATTTTTGCTTTTGCCCAAGAATTTTTTTTATCCAATTTTTTTTTTTTTACATTTTCTAATTTGAACTTTGCATTAGCCTGTTTGCTCACTAAGGTTTTGCTTCCGTCCATTTTTTTTTTACATTTTGAATATGAAAATGTTAAAAGTATGAACATTTTCGACCCATTACCTTACTTAAGTTTTGCTTTCGTCCAATTGTTAAAGTTTTGAACATTCCATTTATCCATTTGCTCACAAAAGTTTTGCTTCAGTATATATTTTTTTTAATTTTGCATTTGAACTTTGCATTTGCCTGTTTGCTCACTAAAGTTTTGCTTTCGTTCCAAAAATATTTTCAAAGTAAATGTCATCCAATAAAATTTAATCTAATATAATTTTTTTATTTGAACTTTGCATTCACCCTAAACTTTGCTCACTAAAGTTTTGCTTTCGTCCAATAAAATTTTACAGAATTTTTTATTTGAACTCATTAGTTTTGCTTTTGCCCCCCCAAATGTTTTATTTATTTATTTTTGAATTTGAACCTTACAATAGCCTCTTTGCTCACTTGAGTTTTTCTTTCGCCCAATAACATTTTTTTAAATTTTGAATTTGAACTTTGCATTAGCCTTTAACTCCCTAAAGTTTGCTTTCGTCCAGTAAAATAAAAATATTTTTTTTATTTTAACTTTGCATGAGCATTGAACCCGAACTGAAGTTTTGCTTTTGAACGATACATTTTTATTTTATTTTAAATTCCTCCCAAGTTACTGTTTGCTCGAAAAAAAAGCAAAAGTTTTGCAAGTGAATGCAACATTTCTTGAGATAATGCAAAATTTTGCAAGAGAACACAAATGTATTTTTTTTCAATTCCTTTTTAACTTTCTCGCATGGAAGACAAAAAGTGAATTATTAAAGTGTATCTCTTCCTCTTTTCCATAAAGAAGCATCGCATCAGCTTTGACATTAATGACACCTGACCAATGATATGAACCCTGACGTATCATATGGCCAACTTTCAGGTTTGTGACAACATCAGGGGGGGAAATGTATTTATTTTTAAGTGAAATATTCCCATAATGTTTTATTTATTTGTCGTTCCTCACATGATCTGAAGTATTTTTCAAATAATGTTTACATTTCAGCAAAATGTGAATTATTGTGCAATCTCCTGCCTTTAATCAACCTTGCTGAGTCTGTTTCTCAGATGTTGTAGGATTTTTATTGTTTGATTTTTCAACTGTCTGCACCAAACCAGCTCTACCTCACACACACACACACACACACACGCTTCCTAAAGTCCATTAAACCAGCCAACATTACAGAAAACCGTTACTGGTTTCACTTCAGCTGCCCGATCTTGATTATATGACCAGCAACTGGACAAGTTTATTGGTAATCAGAGTACAGAAAGGAAACTGTTGGCGATGAAGTTTTTCCTTAAAAGTGTCTGGATTTTGATTTGTTCGATGAGAGGTACTGGTTCAACCAAACATACCAGCGTCCATCTGCAAACACGCTTCCTCTGGTTATGATGCTTCCGAAACAATACTGAGGTATTATGATCTAGTCCTGCTCAGTTTCATTCAAGTTAATGTCCATATCTAGAGCTTTCCCAGATACGTTTCACACAGGAGTCTGTATAAGGAACCAGTTTCAGTGGATGCAGTGTTTTGTAAGTCTGTTTTTATTTCTATTCATTTGGAGCAACGGTTGTACATTTGAATTGTATATTTCAGTACTTGTCCTGGCTCGTGTGTAGTCTGACTCGAGTCACTGTAGTCGTCTCTCTTGGCCAGCTGAATGTGTGGTCATTGTGAAAGTTTGACACTGAATAAATCTTTTCTTCAAACCTTCTGATGTTCATCTTGCACACACTCGCTCTTCCAGAAACACAACATTCAGTGTTTCTAGTCTTGCATTAACCTTCTAGTGTTCTCAGAAAAGAGGACAAAAAACGTGTTTATTTGTCATACAAAGTCACAATGCAACATTCATACATTTTATTGAGAATTGTATTTTTTTGTGTGTGCATTACAGTAACAAGATTTTGTGATGAAAATGTGTTTATTAGTCAAGAAAATAATCACACAATGCATTTGTTCACTGGAGTTTTGCTTTCGTAAAATAATATTTAAAAACAATTTTTTTTATTTGAACTTTGCATTAGCCCATTAACTTACTAATGTTTTGCTTTCATCCAGTAAAATGTTTCAAATTTTAACATTTTGAACTTTGAATTAGTCCACTTAAGTTTTTCTTTCGCCCAATACATTTTTTCGAAATTTTTAATTTGAACCTCAAAATTTTTTTGCTTTCATTCAATAGAATTTTTAAAAATAAATAAATTTTGAAACATATTTTGAACACAGCTGGTAAAGCACTTCCACAAAAACTAAATCCACAGTAATCTGGACTCCAATCCATTTGGTAGTTTTAATAATTCAGAGGCTCAAACACATGATGAAACGAAGGTTAATGAGTTCATCTTCAGTTCATCATCTTCATCTTCACTATCACTCCATTCACATCCACCAGGATCATATGTACATCGCTTGTGTCCGAGTCGGTGAGGTGTAATTAAAGCGATTCAGTGACAGCGCTGGCATTTGTCACATCATCAAACATCAGAAATATCCTCAGATGACGCCACTCGACCTCTCCTCCTCCTCCTCCTTCATCACGGCGCTTCAGCGATGACCGCAGGGCTCCCGAGCCACACACTCCTCTCATTACACACTGTGACGGCAGACTCGCGTCTTTAATAGGCCTGTCGGTATAATGAGTCTGGCGATGTCACTTCATATATTTATGGAGCAGATGATCTTTGATATGCTAATTGAAGTGTGTGTTAATGGCTCTCCGTGAAGCCGGACGCCACATTATCTTGGCAGATGATGTGATGTGTTCATCAGCCAGGCAGAGGATCATCTCGATGCTCTGAGCACACATTAACACACTAAATAAAGCAACACAGCAGCTGTTTCACATCAAGAGTTCATACAGAAGTGAAGAATCTCTCATCGCTTTCTCCCTGTTCTCTTCTGGCCGTCACACACGCGTGGAACGCCAGTTCTGACGCAAGAAGAAGATTCATGCTTTGGTAGTCGTACACAAACTGACATAAAAAGTGGAAATTATTACATATAAGTGAAAATTATTATATAAAAAGTGGAAATTATTACATATAGGTGTAAATTATTATATAAAAAGTGGAAATTATTACATATAAGTGAAAATTATTATATAAAAAGTGGAAATTATTACATATAGGTGTAAATTATTATATAAAAAGTGGAAATTATTACATATAAGTGAAATTATTATATAAAAAGTGGAAATTATTACATATAGGTGTAAATTATATAAAAAGGGTGAAATTATTACATATAAGTGAAAATTATTATATAAAAAGTGGAAATTATTACATATAGGTGTACATTATTATATAAAAAGTGGAAATTATTACATATAAGTGAAAATTATTATATAAAAAGTGGAAATTATTACATATAAGTGATAATTATTATAAAAAGTGGAAATTATTACATATAGGTGTAAATTATTATATAAAAAGTGGAAATTATTACATATAAGTGAAAATTATTATATAAAAAGTGGAAATTATTACATATAAGTGATAATAATTATAAAAAGTGGAAATTATTACATATAGGTGTAAATTATTATATAAAAAGTGGAAATTATTACATATAAGTGAAAATTATTATATAAAAAGAGAAAATCCTTAAATTAAATGGAAATTATTAAATTATTACATAGTCATAATTATGGCGGTAAATTATTACATTAAAATGAAAATTATGGAAATTGTGACAAAAAGTGAAATTACTACATCAAAATTGGATGTTGTTACATAGCTATAATTATGACGTCAAAATTACAACATAAAAAGTGGAAAACATTATTTAAAACAGAAAATTATTACATAATTTCCATTTTTTGGTCATAATTTTAACATCATATTTATGAGTTTATGTAATAATTTTCTGTTTTAAATAATGTTTTCCACTTTTTATGTTGTAATTTCCATTTTTTGGTCATAATTTTAACATCATATTTATGAGTTTATGACATAAAAATAAAAAAATTGACAAAAAAGTAAATTGTGAAAGGTCAAAATTATGACCAAAAATGGAAATTATGACATAAAAAATGAAAGATTTGACAAAAAGTAAATTGTGAAAGGTCAAAATTATGACGTAAAAATGGAAATTATAACATGACAAGTCAAAATTATGACATAAAAAGTCAATTATGACAAGTCAAAATTATGACGTAAAAATGTGAAATTATTACACAAAATCAACTATGACAAATCAAAATTATGACATACTAAGTCATAATTTCAAGTTTAAAAAGTTTAAATTATGAGATAAAATGTGAAATTATGACTTTCTGTCATATTTATGAGTCAAAATTACAAATTTTGTCCAAATTGTAATGTCATAATCATGACTTTTTGTCAATTTCATCTTTATATGTAAATTTTGACAGTTGAAATTATGACTTAAATTATATAGTATGTCATCATTTCAATTTAGAATATCAAAAAGATGAGTTTTTGATTCATAATTTTGACACTTCATCTCATAATTCCGATGTCCTAATTCTGATTAATAAAAGCATTTTTGTTTTGGTATATGGCAGAAATGTTCAGCAAAACGCTCTCTTTCATACACAGGCAGTTCAGTCCATCTACCTCGAAAGAATGAGGTCAAACGAAAGTCCCATCGAGGACGATAGAGGCCGTGAGACGCACACACACCTTCATCTGAGACACACACACACACACCTTCATCTGAGACACACACACACCTTCATCTGAGACGCACACACACACACCTTCATCTGAGACGCACACACACCTTCATCTGAGACACACACACACCTTCATCTGAGGCACACACACACCTGAGGC